CACGAGCTCATGCAGGTATTTCGCTTCTTACAGTATCAGTATTGCCGGTGTAAAACAGACAGGTGATGCAAGGATTCTTGAATCACTGACTAGGAGATATTTTAATGATGGACCGTGAAATTCTCACAATGGATATTAAAAGAAATTTGTGGCAGTCATTAAAGAGAGTTGATATTTGAAGATGTAGACTGAAAGGGTGAAAAGCAAGGTCTAAAGCCTGTGAAGGTAAAGTTGATAGTCGTGTGGTTTCTGGAAGCTATATCTTACTTTGTACTGCAAAGAAGCCTCGGTAAAATGAAACTGTGTTGAGCTACAAGGATTCAGAGATGGTTTGTCAGCGTTTTCACTTTTACACTTGTCAGTGCCAAAAACATTATTGGTTTTCAAAGAGTTTTTTTGCGCTTAAAAAAGAAGAAAAAGCTCCGAATAGTCGCAACATTTTCAGCTCTCTTGAAGAGTTCCAGAATTATATATACAATCATATAGTATACTGTAAATGTTGTTGTCAGTAAAAGATGTCGACATTTGATTTGGTTTCCACAATGCCATCCCCAGCAGGTAATTAATTCGTTTAACCCTTACATGGCATTTTATCTTTCAGAATAACTTGGAGCTTTTTAAAGCCGAGGCGTCGTCCGAAATCTGGCGAGCTTATGTAGACTATTTGGATGATATGGTCCTCGATGGCTTCTTTAACTGCATTCATTGTTCACTCAACTATCTCTTGGAGAACACAGACACTAAACACAACACTACTGGCCTGTTTGAGGCTAAGCTTGAGCTGCAACAACCTGAAATGGTGTTTATACCGTCGCTGGATTTCGGCGTGTCTGACGGGTTTTATGAACTTGTGGAAAGAATTGTTAACGATGTGTACAAGATGGCTTCACTGGTCAAGAGGTTGGCTGAACATAATGGATCTGAACATTACCAGGTGAAGATATTAATTAAATATAAGACAGTCAGCTGAACTTTTCTAGTGGTAATCTAGCTTATGAAGAGCTTACTGTTTATCGTAAAGACGAAGCAAACAAACAAACAAAGTAACAAAAGAAGTCTAAACTTCTTATTTCCATCCAAACGCTGTGGGATAAATTTGGTCATGATTGTAACAATGTTTCAATTTTTAGCGCGCTTTCGAAAGGCCACAAACGACTTAGGTCGATGGTCACCTGGTAGTTGAAAGATTTTACAGCACAGAACTCGGCAAATGGTACAAACCCACTAGAAAGTAAGGCCTGAATGAATAAGGTGGCGGAATGGAATTGGATTACAAGTGGCTTTAATTTGACGATTCTACACCACAAATTTTGTTAAAGTACGGTATTGATTCCTTTGAGACAAAAAGGAACATTGCTGATGTAATTACAGTTTGCACCAAACTATGAACGTAAAAAACACTTGACGTAATTGAGTCCTGATTTCTGTTTCGCAGAACGATGTAGAAGACATGCTTGATTTATCGGAGATGCGTCAAGACATGATGGATCGTGTAACAGGCATCATGAACAAAGCCAATGAATACCGCAGTTCTTTCGATGCATACGCTTACTTGTGGCTAGATGACAGGAATGAGTTTATGAGACAGTTCCTCTTGTACAACCACGTACTAACAGCTGAGGAGATTGAAGCTCACGCTGAAGAAGGAGTTCCAGAGAATCCTCCTACTCTGGCTCAGTTTAAGGAACAGGTAAGACAATTGTTTGGGATGAATATCAAGAGCGAAAAAATTTAAACTTCAACTTTTTTATTGTTGCGCACTATTTACAGAGTTAATTTACATCAGTATTATAAAAGAGATATAAAAAGAGAAATATATGTTACATATGGCTATGGAAAGACTAAACAAATATGCGCGTGGTAACCAGGCTAGCCATGTCTTTCGGGATGGTTACAACCATGTTAAGCTAAATGTGGTAGAACAAAAGTTCATTACAGAGGGAGCGACATAAAAGAGTTTTGTTTTGTATAGATAAGAATTTTTCTACTATCGTACGTTTTATGTGGCTTTGTTGGAAGCAAGGCATGGCCACTTCAACTGTAAAACTGACTATTTCTAAAAAAAAAAAAGGTGTTTTTTTTTCATCACAAGTGAAAAGGTTTTCGCTTTAAATTCTGAATGTGCTTTGAATTTGACAATGTAAAGCGCGCGTACAGTGTACCAAGCGAATTGACAACGATGATATAGCCAAACAAATTCAAAGATTTCTGACGTTTATTCAGTCAATTAATCTCCACATAGTTTCCCTTGTAGTTCTTTAAGATACCCGAATGAATGGTGTTAAAATTAAAGTTCACTGAATAACACGCAGGCTTTCCTTACTCAAGTTTTACTGAAACAAGAATTTTTTTATTTTTCCTAGATCGACACCTATGAAAAGCTGTATTCTGAAGTGGATGAGGTGGAGGGAACAAAGATCTTTGATACATGGTTCCGTGTGGATGCCAGACCCTTCAAACAAGCGTTACTGAATATCATCAAACGATGGAGCTATATGTTCAAACAACATCTTATTGATCATGTCACAAACAGGTATCGCTTTTGTCCGTCTCTGATTAATTAGAATAATGGCCGACTAGACATTTTGACTCTGATTAAAAGTTGTTAGTGCAAAGAAAACAAGGAATACATTTCTGGTCATGTCAGTCTGTTCTATCCCCTGTTGGAATCCACAACTCTTTAGTTGTAGAAAACAGAATTGAGACGTGTTTGCTGCTAGTGAATTCGTTTTAAGAAACTATGGAATCTGGAGAGTTATTCCACTACATCTTGACGTGACAAAATGAACTGGAAACGCCATACATTTCTAGTTAAAATTACAATCTTATAACTCAATAACGTTTGTTTTTCTTCAGCCTGAACGACTTGGCAGAATTCATTAAAGTAGCAGATGTTGGTTTGACACAGCCTGTAGAGGAAGGAGATTACAACGGCTTAGTGGCTGTCATGGGACACCTCATGGCTGTCAAGGACAGACAGACAGTGACTGATGAAATGTTTGAGCCACTTAAACAGACTATTGAACTTCTCAAGACATACGGACAAGAAATGCCAGAGGAAGTACACACACAGCTTCAGGTAAAGTCAATTGTTGCTGCTACAAAGAGAGTTATTTTTTATGAATCGTTCTATAACTATAGACCAAAGGCGTAAAATTTTCGTTTGCCACTGAAAGGCATTATAGGGGTTGCACCTAACGGATAAAAGTCGAGCTTTCTGTAACTCCCCGTTCACACTACGCCCGGAGAAATTTGAAAGCGTAGCTTTATTTCTACAGTTAGGCCTACCGTCCACACTAATCCGGCACGAAAAAGGAGTTTTTCGAGAACTCTCTTCAAACCGGAGGAATTTGAGAAACCCCGGCTTTACGTGTTAATGTGGACGGAAAACATTTTGAAAACGGAGCTACTATATTCGAAAACTGTGATGTCACGATAATCTTGTAATTTCCCTGCCCGGGTTTTCCTCAAACACAAATCCAAAATGACTGGTAATTGTTGCGTTTTTAAATTTCACCGGCGTAGTGTAGACGGGGCGTTAAGAGTGTTTGATACACTTTTCTGCTCACAACAGCGTCCTTTTCAGGGCGATTTGAAGGCAGTAAAAGTGCAGTTTTCAAACAAAAAGCTAGTATTGAGCAAAAACTTCTGGGCAAATGAGCGAGCGAATCTGAACTCCCCTGTGAACTTGTTTATACACAGGAACTTCCAGAACAGTGGAACAACACCAAGAAGATTGCTGTGACAGTGAAACAACAGGTAGCTCCTCTCCAGGCCTCTGAAGTCGCCATCATCAGACGAAAATGTGGACAGTTCGATGTAAGTTTGAAAGTCTGCTACCTCTTAGTATCAGAACGTAACGCTTTTGAAGTTGTTTTCATCTATTTTATTTTCTGATTTTGTTTTTTACAGATCAAACAGCACGAATTCAGAGAGGACTTCCGCAAGACAGCTCCATTCCAATTCGATTCCACGAATTATTACGATCGCTTAGACAGGGTCAGTGCTATATTTCTCACGTTGTTTTTTGCGTTAGCCTTTGCAATGGTTGGTACCTTTTCAAAAGGTCGTGAATCTTTGTGCGAAGAATTTCTAAGCCTACAAGGCGGGAAAATACCTTGTAAATATTTGTGACCTTAGAGTAGACTATGGAGCGCCTTATACACTTGATAGAGCGATCAGGTCATCAATTTACCAGATATTGTTTTTGTGTTCACAGGCCAACTTCCAGATCTGTGCCATGGAGGAAGAAATGAACGCGCTTTCCGAGTCCGCCGGCCTATTTGAGGTGAACTTCCCTGATTACAAACAGCTTCGTGCATGCCGCCGTGAAGTGTCCCTTCTCAAACAGCTCTGGGACATGATTGAAGTTGTTTTAAGCAGCATTGACGAGTGGAAGTACACACTGTGGGCCGACATCAACGTAGAGAACATGGAAATGGAGTGTAAGAGGTTTGTGAAGGAGATCCGGGGACTTGACAAAGAGATGCGTGCATGGGACGCGTTCACTGGACTGGACTCTACTGTCAAGAACATGGTGACGTCATTAAGGGCTGTGGGAGAGTTGCAGAATCCGGCCATCAGGGACCGCCATTGGCAACANGCAGCAGAAACCTACCCAAAGCAGGCATCCTCCGCTAAGTAGACACTTTCTCGTAGTTAATTTAGCTGTTGTTAAATGCCACTTCTATTTACCTGACTCTTGTAGTAAGGGACACTTTTTTGAGGTCTTCAAACTAACAAGCGGACATTTAAGGTCAAATGTAAGCTTAATGAAGCCACGTTGTGATAAGTCGTAATTCAAAAAGCCATTTTATTCCAAGGTACTAAGTTACTTTCAAATCCATGTAAGTCACAAATACTAGTTTATAAGGGTAGAAAAAAAGTCTAAAAGGTGACAACAAGCCACAGAGGAACAGGATGGTTAAGATTCGTGAAGATTGAAAAGGATTACAAAAACTTCAAATTGCTAAATTTATTTATCATTCCGGCTACACAAGGTTCCTATCAAGATCACTGAAAACCTCGATCCGCTGACCTTGCTGACTGACAACGCGACCGTGGCTACGTGGCAGAATGAGAACCTACCGAGTGATCGAATGAGTACTGAAAATGCCACCATCCTGACGAACTGCGAGAGATGGCCGCTTATGATCGATCCACAGTTACAGGGCGTAAAGTGGATCAAAACCAGAGAAGGAGAGGAACTCCGAGTCGTCAGGCTGGGACAGAAAGGGTAATATAGAAAAATATTCTTGTTTACTTTGAAGGCGATTCAATTTCTGATCAGGCTACAAAAGTATCAGTTCTGAATATTGAAAGTGCATAGCACGATTAACTGTCCCAAGGAATTTGAGCGACGCGGATTTAAAAACTCGAAATTTATAAAGAATGTAAGAGTTCATATTGCATTCAAAGAACCTAAACTTTCATCAGTTACTGAGTTTCACAAGCTCTTTAAATGTCTGAAGTCAATTCGTATCTGTCTTGATGCCTTGACTTCTATGCTATGCGCAAAGTCATATGTTCATAAGGAATTAAAAGTCTACATCGAGTCCCTGTTGCACTAACTCATTGATTGCGCATGCGCGCATGAATGAGTTGAAAATGTAAACAATGACGTTACACTGTGTTTGGTTTTTACCAAGAGATCGTTGTACTTTATGGTCTGATTGATGCTGGTTGTTTTGTTTTACAGATATCTGGATGCCATTGAACGTGCAGTAGCAAATGGCGATTGTGTACTCATTGAGAATATGGGTGAGAATATGGACCCAGTGTTGGATCCTCTGGTCGGCCGAAACACTATCAAGAAAGGAAGGTGCGTTTCGTTGTGGTCGATGTTTTTGGTCTCTGTGATCCAGTATTTCAATTGTAGGTCACCCATACCAGATAATTTATACATTAATGTTAAAAAAAAACAAAACATGTTGTTGCTTCAGCTGGCTACAGAGCGCTTTTGGTCTTTTATTAAACTACAAGCTGCATTTACCATCAGTGATCTTGTCTGTTCTCTTCAACTTTTCTCCATATCGCAACCTAATTCCATCTTCGCCATCATTGCTCATCATTGCTTACTTCCTAGTAATTTCCTGTCATTTCTCAAGCGCTGGTTAACAAAATAAAACCATTAATGTTGGTTTTCTTGTGGTTGAAGTTTTGAAGTCAAGGCAAAAATGCATGGCGTTGTTCCCCCTCTGTTGCAGTTGACAGCAACTAAAGTTTTGTTCAGTCCTACTTTACACTTGTAACCTTGAGAGGCTCAGAGTACAGGAGGTAAGGTGCACATCTCTTTGCCCCTCAGGTACATCAAGATGGGTGACAAGGAAGTCGAGTATCACCCAGACTTCCGTCTGATCCTTCACACCAAACTGGCCAATCCACATTACAAACCTGAGATGCAGGCCCAGACCACCCTTATCAACTTCACGGTCACACGTGAAGGCTTGGAAGACCAGCTGTTGGCCGACGTTGTTCGTAAAGAGAGGCCTGATCTCGAAGAGACAAAGGTAATGAACGCTCGTTTTACTTGTTTGAGAACGAAAGTTAGATTGTAGACCATTTTAGTGGGGCCGTTCCGATCGGTGTGAAACTGAAGCTACAAGTTTCGAGAACGTGTAGCTTGCTGACGTTTTTGTCCTGAATTGTTGCTAAGAAGACAAGTCGATTTTTAGTAAAGTATGAAACCACATCTTACATTTTGTATTTTGTCCCTGTTTGCTTCTAGGCTAATTTGACCCAACAAATGAACCAATTCACCATCAAGATCAAAGAGCTAGAAGATTCCTTATTAGCCCGTTTGTCTGCTGCCGGTGGAAACTTCTTGGGTGATTACGCTCTTGTGGAGAACTTAGAGACAACCAAACGAACAGCTGCGGAGATCGAGGTGAAAGTCGCCGAGGGAAAAACTACAGAGGTCAAGATCAACGAAGCCCGCGAGCAGTACAGACCAGCGGCCGCACGATCATCATTGTGCTACTTCATATTGAACGACCTCAACAAGATCAACCCGATCTACCAGTTTTCTCTCAAGGTCAGTTGTAAAACAGTCTGTCGCTATGCAACAGGGCAAAACAGGGCAAACATTAAGTGAAATAGTTTTTGTACAGGAATCCGTGTGCAGGTTATGTTGTCTGCGCATCCACGCATCCCTCGATTTTGATAAAAGAAAATCTTCATATCTGTGTTTTTGTTTCCTTTTTTCAGGCATTCAATGTAGTGTTTCAAAAGGCTATCGACAAAGCTGAACCTGCAGAAGAAGTGAAACTCCGAGTGAACAACCTGATCGACTGCATCACGTTTTCAGTGTTCATTTACACCACACGAGGATTGTTCGAAAAGGATAAACTGATCTTTACTGCTCAAGTAGCGTTCCAGGTAAGAAATTCCAGAATTGATTCCTGGTTTCCCGTCACACCTTTCAAAAGAAAACCAACTAAAGCAAATTATACATGAGGGTTGAGTTTGTTGTTGGTTCTCGCCTTACTCTGAGGGTTTTTCTCCGGTTTCTCCAGTTTTTTTCCCTCCACAAAAACCAAAATCTCCAAATTCCAATTCTACCAGGATAGAGGATCCGCATAAAAACCAGCTAAGGCTGATGTGACTTCCTCTCTAAATATTGTAATTTTTTTACGTATAACTTTGTAGAAATTAACGGCCTAATGTTCAGAACTTAAAGAATGTTAATCAGACTCACCTTGGCTGTCTTTGCTTCTTTTGTGTTATAAACAAACCTTAGAAACAGAGATCGTGAGAAACACTACAGTATCATTTCTAACCAGTTTCTTCCGTTTCTTTATACAGATTTTACTCATGAAGAAAGAGATCGTACCCCATGAGCTGGAATTCCTTCTTCGTTTTCCTGCCGCCATGAACGTGACCAGCCCTGTAGACTTCCTGAACAACCTCTGCTGGGGCGGAATTAAGGTAAGTTCACTCAAGTATTTGGCAGCCTCGATCATCGAAGGAAACCGAAAAACACAGAAAAGACGTCTGGTCGCGTAAAAGTGAAATATTTGGGTCACTGCTCGCATTCTAGGTGCGAAATATTCGAGTACTGTGTGAAGCAACTCCGCGCGATTTGAGTTGAGAATTCCTGTGTTACACTTAAAGGAGCTTAATCACGGTATTTTGAGTTATTTTGGCCACGTTATAAATTACCTTTTTAATTGAAGGAAACCTGAAAATAAAACTTTACCAAGATATAACAGCACCAAAGAGACAAAAATAAACCATAAAGGAACAAGGATGGTTAAGGATGGAGAAGATTTACACGGATTACAAACAACGAACTTGAAAAACTTAAGGTAAACTTTTCAACATGCACAAACCGTGATGTAGCTCCTTTAAGATGGTTTTACGGGTGTGTTTTTTCTATAGGCACTGAGTAACATGGAAGAATTCCGTAACCTGGATCGTGACATTGAAGGATCAGCCAAAAGATGGAAGAAGTTTGTGGAGAGCGAGTGTCCTGAGAAAGAAAAATTCCCTCAGGAGTGGAAGAACAAGAGCTCTTTACAGAAACTATGCATGATGAGGGCTCTGAGGCCTGACAGAATGACATATGCCGTCAGGTTGGTGGAAAGAAACGCACTGTTTTATCCTGTAGCAGGAAGGTCTTCGCGTGACTAACGTCTAGTAGATAGTGGTGTATTAACTGACTTGACAAAACCGCCTTCTCATGTACAAAGGATTTCATTATTGGCTCGTTCATGAGTTTAAGCAACATTTTTTGAGTAAAAAAATATTACTTATCTCTGTTAAAGTGTTAGTTTGGAACCTTTCCAACATTTGATAATACTTGTGTGTCCTCTTGCCTTACACAGCGGCTTTGTTGAAGAAAAGATGGGTGCAAAATATGTAGAAAATCGTCAAGTGGAGTTTGCAAAGTCGTACGAGGAGAGCGGGCCTGGGACCCCAATCTTCTTCATCTTGTCCCCAGGAGTCGATCCGCTGAAAGACGTGGAGGCACTGGGCAAGAAACTCGGCTTCACATTCGATAACAAGAACTTCCATAATGTGTCACTTGGACAGGTGAGAAAAGTCAGTCCATAGAACGATAGAAGATCGTGCTCCATGCTGAGTGGAATAACCTCTCATACCCAGGGTACTACGAGATGAACCCCACTGAGACCAGAAAATTTGAAACTTGTCATTTGTTTTTCTTCATTTTGAAAAGAAAATTCGAGCGTGAATTGAAGTTAGTGTTGTTGTAAATTTCAGGGTCAAGAAATTGTTGCGGAACAGAGTTTGGACTTGGCCGCTAAAGAAGGACATTGGGTCATTCTGCAGGTAATTGAAGAAAAAATCTGTGATACTCGTTATTTTACTCTGGAATAATTAGTTTAAACCTTGTGTAAACATGTAAACGTTTAAACATTGGGTTGTCTGCAACCCAGACGCTGAGTGAGAAGCCTAAGAATGCTGGGTATCTGATTTAACAAGTCTTTTCAACTGGGCTTTCGTTGTAGAATATCCATCTTGTGAAGAAATGGCTGCCGACTCTGGAGAAGAAACTTGAGGCCTATAGTGAAGGAAGCCATGAGAATTATCGAGTGTACATCTCCGCTGAACCGGCGGGTTCTCCTGATGCTCACATCATACCTCAAGGAATCCTGGAGTCATCCATCAAAATCACTAACGAACCGCCTACTGGCATGCAGGCCAATTTACATCAGGCTTTGGACAACTTTAACCAGGTAGGTCAGATTCTTTCAGTGACGCACGATTGAACACTGCACGTAACTTCGCGCGAACTTTTCAGCTACTATGAGGTAAAAGTAGAAGGTAATGATTTTATTTGCGGGAACAATTCCATGGTTGCATAAATAGTGCCATTTAGACATTGCGCGATACGTTCCACCGTATGCCGGTACCTTAATCATGTGTTTACTTTGTTTAAGAGTGAAATGGATGACAAATCAACCTTACCTTTCAATTTTTTCTCTTCTCAGGACACGCTGGAGATGTGTGCCCGTGAGAATGAATTCAAGAGCATTCTGTTCGCGCTGTGTTATTTCCACGCGTGTGTTGCTGAGCGCCGTAAGTTTGGTCCTCAAGGATGGAACAGGTCGTATCCGTTTAACACTGGTGACTTGACCATCAGTGTTAATGTACTCTACAACTACCTTGAGGCTAATGCTAAGGTATGTATACAACAAAAGCTTGCAGTTTGAGAGTATCAGGGATTATCTAAGCCTTGACGATAGAGCAGTTTGATGGCAACCCAGGTGGGTTGGGGTGTTACTTCCAGAAAAATCAGGTTGGGGTGTGCGGCTCGCTTCCCAAAACCCTTACTCTTTTTAAGACCAAAATTTGTGATTTTCCCTACCCTCTTTATGACCTGACCAAACATTTGGTGCTCTATTTAAGACCTGACCCTTCAATCAATACCCTGTTTCAGACCTGCCGTATAATTAGTTACTTAGTTCAGACCGATGTTTAAGGTATTCTGAAGGGCTTTTGTTGATGGTCTTATCGATAATGACGAAAAAAGTAACTTCTTCTAAAAAACATACTTAATTCTAGACAAGTGCAAAAACCATACCCTATAAGTTGAGACCAAAATGGCTGAAATCGATACCCTATTTCTGACCAAAACGGCTGAAAAACCATACCCTTTTGGGCTGCACATACCTATATAGCCCAAATAAGGGAGTGCCCGCCTCCCGCCAAGTGTCAAAGCGTGAGCTATGATTGCAGTGCTAATTCGTTTTGCTCTGTGTCAGGTTCCCTGGACTGATCTGCGTTATTTGTTCGGTGAGATCATGTATGGCGGTCATATCACAGATGACTGGGATAGAAGACTGTGTCGAACTTACCTGGAGGAGTACATGAAACCAGATATGGTGAGATACCCAGCAGATTCTCGAATCATTCGCAAAATCGGTGTTTGATGGAAGCACTGAAATCTTTTTCCTCAGTTCAATTTCATGTATGACTATATAAAGTATGACTATATGAAGCAGGTAGTAGTATTGTTTCTCCCGCTGGATGTGACAAGACAAACCGCTCGCACCTATTTGTACTTCTGTCCAGAGAAACCGCTTTGAGAGTAAAGCTTCTTTCGCTACAACATAACTGTCAACCCTCTGGTAGGGCTCGAACTTAAATCAGATCTCTGCGACAGTTTCATCCGGGAAAAAATAACTTTCGTCACTGCCCAAATCGCAACTGCAATAATCAACTCACTTGATTCCTTTGTACAGCTTGAAGGCGAGATGAACCTTGCTCCAGGATTCCCCATTCCTCCCAACTCGGACTACAAGACGTACCACGCCTACATTGATGAAGCATTGCCTCCAGAGAGTCCATACCTGTACGGTCTGCATCCTAATGCTGAGATCGGCTTCTTAACAGCTACTTCGGATAACTTGTTCCGTACTGTGCTTGAGATGCAGCCCAGAGACGCGGGTGCTGGAGGCGGCGGAGGACAGACTCGGGAAGAAAAGGTAATTAAGATGCAAAATCTCCTTGCCAGTGTCCTTGCTTTTCTTATATTACTCATTTGGAGAATTTAATTGTACTAGTAGGACAACTGGTGATCAGTTGGAGTATTCTTATAGGCTTTATACTTGACTTTTTATTGTTAATTTAAGAAGAAATTAGATCGTGATCCCTTTAAAGACTGGAAGGGTAATGTAAGATAACAAAAACACAAGCTGTTAGGGAACTGAAAACAGAATAGGGACCATAAAGATAACCTTTTAGTCTACGCTATTCCAGATGTAACTCGCGTCACACGACAGAATTTATTTGCATGCCATTGCTTAATTTCACAGCTCCTTACGATTGTCAGTGTGAAATTCGCTACGAAATATCACAGCTTTGATTACTAGAAGATTCAGCCTATTTTATCTAAACTGACAACTAAATATGCCTCTGTTTAAAAACAGGTGAAGCAGGTTTTGGATGAAATCTTGGAGAAGTTGCCAGACGAGTTTAACGTGCAGGAAATGATGGCTCGTGTGGAAGATCGTACGCCTTACACTGTGGTGGCCTTCCAGGAGTGTGAACGGATGAACATCTTGACAAGCGAGATCAAACGCTCGCTGAAAGAGCTGGATTTGGGTCTCAAAGTGAGTTCATCAGTCTTGATAAAATTGTGATTATCTAGCACGTAATCTTATTGCCTGTCGAGTTTGCTATGTAACACTGCCGTGAAGGTGTCCTGTGGCATTTCTTAGCTTTGGACTGTAAAAGAAATAGAGAAGTTTACGTAGCACATGCGTAGAATTAGTCCTCGTGCAGACATTGTAAACCCTCGATTTATTTCGAGGAAGTTTCAAATGTGAAAACGTGAACCCGGCTTTATCAAGTTTGACCATATTGTGAGCCTTTTTAATCTTCGCCATTTATAATCATTCACTTCCTAATGGATAAAAGATGGCGACTGCCACCTTAACCCATAATTCTTAGCGCATGAAATCCCTTACAACGCTCAGAGACAACTATTGCAAAAATATGACTTTCCTTGAACCTAATCAAAATGAGTTGTGCTTCGCGTGGTATTGTGGTAAAATGTTCAGCCTCCATCTGTTTTCCTATGGAGGATTGTGGATCACTACTATATTGTCAGGTACGCTCCTTATGTTTTGACCCGTCTCTAAATTAACACTCGAACTCCATCTGTACTTTGCAGGGTGAACTGACCATCACCGCTGACATGGAGGAACTGGGTAACTCTCTCTACCTGGATGATGTCCCAGAATCCTGGACGCGCCGTGCCTATCCGTCCATGTCAGGCCTGGCTGCATGGTTTGTGGACTTGCTGCTGCGAATCAAAGAGTTAGAGAGTTGGACGTCGGACTTCTGTCTTCCAAACGTTGTTTGGCTTTCTGGTTTCTTCAATCCACAGTCTTTCCTTACTGCCATTGAGCAGTCTATGGCAAGAAAGAACGAATGGCCTCTGGACAAGATGGCACTTCAGGTAAATGCCCTGCAAATCCGGCCGCGTCTCGTCTTGTGGTTGTTTTGTGGTTCGTGAGAGAGGGCGAAACAGCAAAAACCAAGCCTTCAATTCTATTCGTAACACACGCAGCCTTGAAATACTATTTCTATTGAGATTAAGAGAAAACCTTTTCTTCCGGCTTTGGTTATGAAGGACAGAATCTAATAAAGTTGGGGCAAAATGTTTTGAAAAAACAACAAATTAAAGTCCAAGGCATAATTATATCGTCAACAATAGAACAAAATTGGATTTTATTGCTGAATAGTTTACGTTAGTAAAACCAAATCACCGGTAAATCACGCAGTTCCTGGCAATATTTGCAGTACAACCTAATACAACGGGCCACTGTAACTTCATAGTGACACTGTTCATCTAAACGAAATTTTATGAACGTATCATTTGGGACCTTCGGCTTTGTTACATGTAACAGGCTAAACACATGTATTGTTGTCGGTTAGTGACTGTTACTATTTGTCCTGTATGATTGAAAACTGAACTCGGTTATTAAAGTTGTTGTCGCAAACTAGTGGCTGACTGGATTGTACATATCAGGGAGGATAAAACAGAGAACATCTCAGGGCGTAATTCGCCGCCTATATAAACCCGAGCGCTGACTTATGCAAAGTATATATTTTCTCAGGTTGACGTCACGAAGAAAAACAAAGAGGATTTCAACAGTCCGCCCCGAGAAGGTGCTTATGTGCACGGATTGTTCATGGAGGGAGCCCGATGGGACACACAGACTGGCATGATAGCAGAATCAAGACTGAAGGAACTGACTCCTGGTATGCCAGTCATGTTCATTCGCGCCATCCCAGTCGACAAACAAGAAACCAAGAACGTTTACGAGTGTCCAGTGTATAAGACGAGGCAGCGAGGCCCCACGTACGTGTGGAATTTCTACCTCAAGACCAAGGAATCCCCGGCTAAGTGGACACTCGCAGGAGTCGCTTTGTTATTAAGCGCTTGAATCCATGTGTTTATTCTTGAGTGCTTTCCACTTACAAGTGTTAACCGTTGTTGCTCACATTATTGTTTAACCTTAGAAACGTCTTTTCGATTGACAATAGAGTGTGGAGTTTTTTCCCTCAGTTAAATTCATTTCTAGGTGCTAGAGACACTTCCTATGTTATACGTGTCAACCAGAGTTTTACGAGGATTTTGCTAAGTTTTTGATGATGGAAACAACAAAACGTTTCACTGGGCCATGCTTTCAAGTTTTACTTTAACTTTCTTTTTTTGTTTTATAGTTTCGGGTGTCAGTGATATCCACTTACGTCCCAAATAAACTCATTTCTCTTCTCGGCTCTAAAGTTTCTTGTACTCCACGAGAATTCATTCTTTATTTGGTACTGTAGTTCACCTGAAGAGCCACCTATTTTTGTATTCATTCATTACGCTTCTCTCGCTTGAGTCCCAGATAAAACTAAGTCGTTTATTGTTTTTTCGCCAAGTTGTACTGTTGTCGTCTTTCCTTGCGTGGCACTTTTAAAGTGCAAAACTATTTATGTGTACAAATTGTTTGTGAAATAAAAAAGAGTCTTACGTAAATCTTTGTCGTCTTGTTAGCTTACATCGGTAGCCTAGCTGTCATTGTTTTCAGAAAAGTCAGAAGTCTGTAGCCTGAATTACAATTGTCTGGTCAAGTTTCGCACTTGTACTGTCGTCTTTTCGGGAGAACGCGACTCGCGCAGACAGGTGAAACTCAGGCCAGAAACTCTGAAGAAAGAATGTAACTGTTTCGACTCCCGTAGTTTTACTGACGTGAATATTTGGAAATCGATCGTCAAAATAAGGATAACGTTCCAATAAGTGTTTCTGGTCATAAAAGTGGTCAATGACTCTTGCACTGTGCGGTTTTCGGTGGAAGCTGACATCTCAGGTGACGATCGGAGAGTTTGCTCCGAAGGATCTAACCGCTGCTTTTTTTGTGTTTTTCTTTCTTTTTTTTTTTTTCTATCCAATCCGCTGGACATGCATTCCACTTCGTTTCCTTTACTTAGCCACCTCAAACTCAAATTACTGACCACCTACCACAGATTGCTTTGGTACGTGACATAAAGCTCGTCTCGTACTTAACTTTGTTTTCAAGTGTGCTCTTTTGAGAAAAAGAGAAGTGAACGGCTGTAACTTGTACGTCACTGAGTAGCATTTTTCCTGGAATATTTACCTTGTGTTATCGGGTCCCCCATTAGTTATGCCGGGAATGTTTGGTTCAATGCGAACTTCAGCTACTGTTTTCCCCGTGCAAAAAAATTCTAGACCATTGGCTTGAAAACCGGACCTGAAAAAGCCTGAAATGATCCCTCCATTTCGTCTGAAACCAACTTCTTCAGCTGCCATTAAGGTCAACATGATAGCCCTTATCCGTGATGACCTCAGACAAGTAGATTTCACTACCAACCCTCGCTTTTAAATTGTAAATTGCAAATTTCATCGTGGGAAAAGTCCCAAAGCAGCAAGGATGAAAAGAATATCTTCGTGAAAACAGCACGAAGATGCCAGAGGCTTGAGAAAATTTCTCGCAAACGGTGTCTTGGTGGTGAATGTTCAGCATGTGACATAATCATGCATACGGCTTATTCTCTCCCTTATACGTGAGACATGCAAGGGTGAAAGTTATGTGAATTTATCCCGGGGCCCCGGGGAATTAAGTTAGGTATCTTCAGTTTTCCCTTTTGGGGAGGTGATTTTCTTTAGCTCCTTTTGCTTTTTTTAAAATTTGCATTTCCTGAATGTATTTTCTATTTAACCAATCTTCTACAATGCCGGAGACTGACGCGTGACGCTCCTCAATTAATGAGGGATGGAATTTATCACTGATAACGAACATGGAAAATAGAACGTGAGCTTAGGATGTACTAGTAACTACGACAGAAAAGAACTGTGCGAGTCACTAATACTGTGGCATGAAATAGCCACAATAGCTGTCAGTCCTCCCAGCTGCAGTTTTGTATGTGTATCATGTGAGCTAAAATAGCATGTTCAGGTCTGATCTGACTCAGAAGATCGAGATTTCACGCAGTGAAGGTAGAGTGCGCGGGTTTGCATAAACTTTGGAATTGCAATAAAAATAAAAATAAATAACTTAATTTTAAGTGTCAAATATATTTAGCACTGTTGTGCTAATAGGGGACTGTAATTGAATAAACAAATATTGCAAATAGAACATAAACTATTAAGAATCCCAACTGGTGGGAGGCTGAGCAGTTGGCTATTTACACAGCGCGGTCGAGGATTTGAACTAGACGCCTCCATATTTCAAATCCAGCGTCCTAGACTACTCGGCCAAGCCACCTCGTCCTTAGCTTTCCCTGATTTTCCCCCATGCTTGAATCAAACTACAAAAACACACGAATCATTTTCTACTTTTGTTAAATTAGTGACGCAACTCAACAATTACGTAAAAGTTGCTGCAAGTTGGAAAGACCTTCACAATCACAAGACCCTTGCAAAAACTACGCAAATAGGGACCCGCCTGTGCGAGAAACGCGCCACCTCCATATTTGGTAATGATCTCCAAATTTGGAATTTTTAAGGTTTGCGGAATGCCCGTATGTTTCTCCTCGTGTTGTTGTTTTGCTTTTGATCCTTCTTCTTGTGCAGCGCAAGGGAATTTGGAATCAGGCTGTCAGTGGAAGATGTCTTCGCCTAGCCAAGATCAGGAGAGCGATGCTTTGGCTCTGCTAGCTCTAAAATCAGGCGCAGTTAATCCTGCAAGACAACTGTGGTCTGGTGTCAACACTGTGACTCCCATTGCCAAACTTGAAGGTCGCGAGTTCGAATATTTGGTTCGGCAAAGCCGGATTATTATCGGAAGAAACAGCAGTCTAGGCAGCGTGGACGTCAACATGGGACATTCCAGTTTCGTCTCGAGGAAGCACCTGCAGCTAAAATTTGAAAATCAGGATTTCTATCTCAGTTGCAACGGGAAGAACGGGATATTTGTTGACGGTGTTTTCCATCGACGGGGGGCACCTCCATTGAAATTACCCTACATGTATGTATACAAACTTTACCGTTTGCCGTATAATGTTTCGTTAATTTTAATGGCATAATTTTACTTTGTGCTTAAGCGTAGCTCATTTAAGATGCTGTCCATTTTCTTTTAGCTGTGTGTTGCGATTTCCTTCGACAAATGTCAAGGTTCGTTTCACCTCCTTGGTTGGTGACAAGACTCCGAAACGTGTTCCTAGCCCACCGAGAACAAAGGTTCTTCCACCTCTACGAATAAACATCCCTCAATCAGACTCTAACTTCGCTTCTCCAGTTCCTTCTCCTACGGGAACGATAAGGTACGAGGCATTTCTGTTATTTGCCGTGGTTTCTCATTTTAAACTGCTTGTATATAACCGCACAGTAATGAGTATTTTGCCGAGGTCAACTGGAGTCGTACATTCTCTCACGATAACTTTGTTGTTAGCTGTGTGCGTTTACTGTTGTGTTTTGTGTACGCACATCTTTACCCCGTTTGCTTTCCTGTTGATGTGTAGCCTCTCTAGTCAGAAAAGTTTTTCTTTCCCGAAACGATTAATATCAGAACTTATATCCCGTTCTTCAGATGAACGTCTTGTTTACTTTTATTGGATGCATGCGTGCAAGATTTTATAGGGTCAGTTAGTCGTTGCTCAACCATGAGGACAAATTTTAGTGACTAGGTTAATTAAAAGGCACGATCTTAGATCGTGAAAATGGTGGAAACATATACGAAAGGTAAATTCAATTTGTTGTTACAAGCACGTGTTGTGGTCGATTTGGCGTTTAGGTCACGGTATTTTTCATGAAGCGAGAGTTAAGACCAAAAATCCCTTCGCTACAGCTTTCACTCTGTGCGGGCTTGAGCATTGCTTCAGTCAGTTTTAAAATTTAAATGTGGTTCTTTTACTTGATTTTCTCATTGTGTCCATAGTCGGCAAAGTGGAATACAAAGCGTTTTCTTTTGAACTTTTGATTCCGTGTTTCGCAATCGCACCTACTATGGAAATGTATTTCCGTTGGTCTGTAGAGGTTACACACGTTGTCTGTGCGTTGTTTGGTCTGCGCATGCCAGTGTTTATTTAATTTTTTCTAATAATCCCAAGCTCTCATTTGAAAGAAAATTAAAGAAAAAGACTGTAAGATTATGATAGAAACTAGAAGTGCTGTTATACACATAAAACTGGGGTCAGCGCGGGTTTCTAACGTATATTTTCTTGCTGGTGTCGTAACTGGTTTTTGCTTTGTATTTACCAAAACAAAATATACGTAGTCAATGTTTGGCCCGAGTTTAAAATTTATACAGATGTTTTAAAGTAAAAGAGTTCGTACATTAATTCTTATTATGACACGCGTGTGAAGACAACAATCGAAGAGCTTTTACTAAGAGTATATTTGAAATCGTTTTGCATTAGTTCCTCTTGGTTGAATTTGAAAACAAAACATTGAACGTGTCCAAGGAGTTAAAATTCTATGAATAGATAAGCGTGTTTATGAGGATTTGAGCTTAAATGTAGTTTAGCATCAAACATGCGTAAATCGATTGTTATGAACGGTCTTGAACAATCTCTATATTTGTTTTGTAACCGTATCAAACTCCTTCCAAAATAAAATAATTTCGACAGTGGAATTTATTGCACAATACTGAATATTTTAGCAGCTGCTTAGAAGAAAATATTTGTGATATTTTTGGCAGGCTTGTATACAAAATAAGTGACAAACATTTCAGTGCTGGAAAAATGTGTAAACACCAGCCTAGAAGTCTTATTTTTTACTTTGTTATGTGGAAGATTACAATATTAGATTGTTACCCTTTGCCTGTGGTTAGAACTTTGAGTATTTATTAGATGTTATTAGGTTGTTGTTGCTTTGGAATTCCAGAACTTCTTGTAAAGTGAAGAACAGTGCTTGTGTGTGTATAAGTGGTCATCATAACTCGTAGCACTGAAATTATAAAGCAGAACTCAAAATGTTGAACATAAGTTGGGATACATGTCATTTCTTTTAGAAAGTTGCATAAATTGTGTCTGCAATTTTCACTTTTGGAATGGCAAAGATTCTGTCTCCAAAAAGTAAGCCATGTAAGAACAAATATGTGGTTATAATAGAGTATTATTGTTATTAATAAGCAACTAAGTGAAGAAACATGGCATACATGCAATAGGCAAAGTGAAATAAATTCGTTAAACATCAGCTGCCAATTTTTTTTTTAATAGCAGCTGTAGCGTTGTCATTGCCTGAATAGCTCATTAGGAGGCAAATTATGCAGCAGTCAGACTGTCTGTTGTGTAGTGACTTCCTTCTATAGTTTAAAAAAAGCTTGTAGATAGCACTAAAATAAATTAAATTTACATTTACTGAAATGAACCTGTTATTTATTGAGAGTAGTCAAGTTAGATGTACTTTTTGTTAAAAAAGTAAGTGAAATCAATTATTGTAACTTCAACCTTTTCTCCAAGTCCAGTAAGTTTGTTATTATTGCAGGTTTTCCTTCAAATGAAGAGCTCAAATTAATGCATAATTTGTGATGTGTTTTATTCAGAACTGGGTTCAAGTAAAGTTGTTTTGTAGCTTCCATTCAATCTCTGGTGATGCCACCCGAGCAACACAACCTTTTACCCATTTTAAGTTTTGTTTTAGATGAGGAATGCTTTTTTTCCACGTTGTCTGCAATACACACTTTATTTATTTACTTGATTGTAAGTTAGCTAATGCATGTACTGTAATGCATGTACAATTTCTAATATTTTAATAAGTTTAAGTGTTGTTATTGTGATTGAAAACTTATTTTATGAACTAGGGTTGTTTTGTAACAAAAGCCTGATTATTCTGGAATTTTTCCTGTAGTGTTCCTAACTCCTGTCCTGCCAGTCCTCGTGGAGACGCTAATCATGTCTATGCCCCAAACTTACAAGCTGTAGCAGAGTTAGCTGCTCAAGATGCCGCCCAGGCTACTGTGGAGGAGGAGAAGCCAAACACGTCAGGGGGAGAGGGAGGAGGCAAAGATGACGGAAAGCCTCCATTTTCTTATGCACAGTTGATAGTTCAAGCAATCTTGTCTGCACATGACAAGCAGTTGACGCTGAGTGGTATTTACACACATATTACCAAGAACTATCCATATTATCGCAGTGCTGATAAAGGCTGGCAAGTAAGGATGCCTGGATTTGTTCTTTAAAATAAGACTTACTACTGGCAGCCACTAAGTTTGGTTGCTAGTTATGAAAATATGTTCTTTGGCTTTTGACTTTTTGAAGTCGGTCTCATGTTTAATTGTCTCTGTGGGTTTTGTTTTTCTTTTCTTCATACTCTTCTCTGTTTTGCCATTTTTGATGCTATTACATGTGTACCTTTTACTTTCCTGATCATTTAGCAATGGATGCCATGAATATGTCTTGGGTAGCCCTTTGCTGTTCAAATGAAAGATTTATATTCTTTGACTTGTACAGCAAAAGGACTATACAAAACATCAGGAACTGAAATTAAAATGCCTGCTCTTCGTGGATTTTGTAACTTAAGTTGGTTTAATCAGTCAACCTAAGAAAGTTTAACTTTGACAGAGGTCTAAACTATTAAAAAAATGCCAAGTTGCATGTTGACCTAGCCTTCAATTTGATTTGAAGCAAAATTTGTATTATAATTAAAAGCTCTGTATGTTCTATCAACCGAACAACATTGCATTCCAACACAGGAGGTAACCTCTTAAGAAATTAGAGATAAGTTAAGGTATCCTAAGTATTGATAAGGAGGTATTTGTCTTTGTATTGAAATGGAAGTATTTGTCTTTACAAGTTGACATCTCTTCAACAGAATTCTATTCGTCATAACTTATCCCTAAACCGTTACTTTGTGAAAGTACCACGTGCCCAAGATGAACCAGGAAAAGGCTCATTCTGGAGGATTGATCCATCGTGTGAGCAAAAGCTGGCTGAACAAGCATTCCGCAAGAGGCGTCAGAGAGGTGTGCCATGTTTTAGACCACCTTTCTCTCAACTGTCTTGCAGGTGTGAAACTTTTACATTGTATAATATTGTAAGGGAGCTGAGACAAAATATGCTTTAAGTCATGTTTCTTATAGTGATATGAGATTACCTTCAAAGTGAACAAAACGTCAAAATGTGTAGTTTCCTAAGGTAGAAAAACAGCAGAGGTAATAATAAAACAGAAATAGGCAAGAATATCAAGATTAATTAATGTATTACAAATGACAAATTTGAAAAAGTTAGGCCAATTTTCAGCATAGTGTGCTACTCAGTTGTTTTCATGCATATGACAGATATTTTTTATTTGCTTCATGGAATCTATGTGAGATTGTGATATGGAAATTTAAAAAATGGATGTCTTTTTTACACCACGGTTTAGCTATCTTAAAACATGACATTTCACTTCTGGTTGGGTCAGAAACCACGATGGGTTAGGACCTGGGACTAGACTAGTCATGTTTGTATACTCAACATGTAAGTTTCCAATTTTCAATGTGAGAAATGGTTTTAGCAAAGTTGGACTATCAATTCAAAAATAAATAAGTAAATGTGATTTGCATGTATTTTAAATTTTGTTTTTTTGTTGTTTGTTGTTTCAGATCAGCTCCAGCTTCTCCCACACATGGCCTTCAGTTCCATGCGCCATCTGCTCCAGTAACTCATATGTCACGTGAAAACTCACCTACTAAGACAACAGCCCAACCAGCTGATGCTACAGTATCTCAAGCCAAGCCTACCCCCACCTCACCCCCCGTCATTCCACCAACTGGTTTACCACCCCCGGTACCAAGTCTACCACAAGGGGTTGTCAAATCAACGGTCACATTCCAGCCAATTGTAACGCAAATGGCAGGAGCAGCTCTGCCTGTCAGTGTGATCAAGTCTTCTCTAGAGGCTGTAAAGGAAAGCGATGGAGCTGATACGGAGAAGAATGGATTTTCTCAGTCGTCAGGAGATGAGTCGCCTGTGGAGAACGCACTGCAGCCAGAGGCAAAAAGCAAGCCTTTGGTTGCCACATTAGTGAAGCAGCCACATCAACAACAACAACCACAGCAACCACAGCAGCTGACGCAGCTTCCACCACAGTTTTTGTCAGGAGCTGCAGCCCCTAGCTCAGGTAAATGTGCCAATACTTAGTGGTTGTATAGTACTAGCTTAATGGCTCATGTACAAGGATTGTCTCTAGTTGAACCCAGGTATTTTTTTACTGGAGGTTGGCAAATTGTTGGGGACTAGTGATTAACATGCAAAAGAATATCATCACCCTCAGGGACGGTTAACAGTACTCCAACTTACTTCAGGATACAGAATCACGATGACTGATAAATCTTTTGGAACAGAAAGCCATGCTTGGCCTAATCGGTAATGTGACTATATTTTCAGTGGTCAAAGTTAATTGGGCTCCGGCACGGGTCTTTTTTATTATTATTATTATTATTTATATATTTTATGTGGCAAGATGCTTAAATCTCTAGGTGTATAATTAAAAACCAGCAAAACACTCCGTAATTAATGCTGGATGCTGGTGGGGGGACCCCGTGATAGACTACCATCCCATTATTAGAAAAAAAAAAATTTAGTCACTTTTTCCTGCTGAAATTGGGATGAGCTCCAGCCGTTCTGGGGCACTTGGCCTTGGCCTGTTCACATAAGTAGTTTAAGCTAGATGTACAATAATTTGTGCTATTCTTAATTCCTTTGTTTATATTTCAGGTGGCTTGCTAACGCCCATTCCCACCCCCACAAATGTCTCACCAACTGCTACCCAGGATTCCTCTGCCAAACCACCAGTTGCAAAAATACCTACCCCTTTACCACTCCCCTTAGTAACCACTGGAACAATCACTCCTGACTCCTCACCCCTTGGGGTGTTGTCACCAGCTGCCACTACAGCTGCTGTTTCTATGGCAATGAATGGTGCCAAGCGAGCCTTGAGTGCTAGTCAAGCGCCAACTGACAGCAATGAGGAACCAGATATAAAACGTCAAAAATTAGTACGGCAAGGTGCTACGTGGCATGGCACTCAACAGGACACTGCTGAACAAGAGAAACTCTAACCTTCAAAGATTTTCCTTCTACTGAAGTTGACTGTTTTCTTGTGGCAATAATATTGTAGTACACAGTTTGTAGTTGTAACAGCACTGAGTGTGGTTGACACTGGCATACCGGTAGTGGCAGGCTGATCAAGGTGAGGTGTTTGAAACATCAACATAGGTTTGACTGGAATCAGTGGATCACTTATTCACCAGAATACTTTGAACTGATTGTTATCAATAAGTCACACTTGGGCTATGGACGCGAAGAGAAAAATACACCAACAGCTAAGACACAGGATAGATTTGCCAGATATGTGGCCCATTTAATAATCAAGTTGGTTGTCAAATCTGATGAACAGTGCACATCGCATGGAGAACTAACTGTTTAGAGGGAAAAAAAAGAGAAAAGAGAAACGTACATTTTGACTGGCAAATTGGCTTATCAATTCAGTGCTGCTCAAAGAAGAGGCTGTCAGTTAACAGAACAGAATGAAACATTTCCACACAAATTCAAAGACTCAAGGATTGGACAATTTGGTACATGTTGCTCATGCATTCAATGGTACCGATGAAACTATGTGATGGTGCAGGTGATGTTTGTTGCTAAGTAGGCTGGAACTACACTACATGGAAAATCTGACATTGTTACTATTAATAGCTATACAAGTATATTAGATGAGACACGGATGATAATGCATTTAGCTGCCGTAATGTGTTGTGGACAGTGTATTAATATTGTGGTTTTAGTGTGCATTATTTTTGGGGGTGCAAATGGTCAGTATAACGTACATTATCCCTTGAAATTATAAGGGACAATGCAAAGTGGTTGAACATGATCATTTCAAATAGAAATGAATCAATATTTTAATTGTCACAAACTGGGATTTGTTATTAACCAGATAGCAAACCAATTAAAAGGCCTTTGCGGGAGCTTGCTGTCTGTTTAAAACTGCTGATGTCATTTTAGGGAAAATATGTGTTAGTGTTGTACTAGGTTTCACTGACATTCCTACATGGTTGGTGAGTTGAGGAGTGAAGTGGTCACCTTTTCACCAGAGTGCTTCTAAAATGCTCAGCTCTAAGTGACAGTAGGTGAACCTGGACTTACTTGTGATTTCTGATGTGGGATGTATTCTTTTTGTGAAATGAAAATTGTATGGAAGAAAAGAAACTCGGACATCAGACCAAGATAGAATTATACAAGAAAACAAAAATAATGTTTAATTTATGACTTACAGCAATTATGTAGATGTTCAGAACACTTGCTCAATTCACTTTTTCTTTAAAAAGTAGATAATTATGGTTAGAGGGACACAATAAGTACTTGTTTCCCATGGAAAAAATTCTGAGCAGGTAGTTGTTGTCATAATTTATCTGCCCTTAGTACAATCCATTGAAATTATATGATGTTAGCACAATGTTTTTTGTGCAGATTTAAAGGTGTTAATGCTTTGATTTGATTTGACTTTGATGCATTGAGTGTGCAAAGGCCAACTAGTTGATAGGGCAAACCACAGGAAAATTAACAGTACAGTTTGTATTTCATTCATCTCACATGATTGATTTCCCTCACAAAACAGCATTTTGTCCTTCCAGGAAATATCCACACCTAGTTAGAAGGTCTGAAAAGTCACAATTAATTAGAGAAAGTATGAAGCTGAACTGGAAATTCCAGATGGGTGGGGTTGGGGGTTCAAACCAGTAACCTTCTGTGCCATAACTGAAGTTACCCCAGAACAGTTTTGTGTAGGGGTGTGGATATTTCTGGAAGGTGCATTCCACAAGTAATGCTAGTGTTCACGCTTACTGATCCACACTGCAACCTTGTCATAAAAATACAATAATTTTGACGTTTTAGGGGGTCATTTTGACTCGTCCATGAAACTTAAAAATACCACAGGTGCAATCATTAGACCAGCTACATATCTAACTGTGAAATTGTAGATTTGTTGTAGTAATTATCTTGTCTCCAATAATTTGTATTTTCTGTTCTCTGGGAAGGGGGCAGGGTGAAATAATCTCTGAACAGTGATGGGGGTGCTCATCAGATTAAAAAGAATATAAGATATTAGAGTACATTTCTGTGGCATGGTTGAAGCTACCTCAGAGCGATTATTTCAAGATCTATTACTAATTAATGAAAATCATCTACAGTACCACAGTATATAAGAAAAACACAACAATTTTTAACTTCTATAAGTATGACTAGCACCCCCATCATTGCAATACCCCCCACTCCCCACCCCCACAATTCCCTCCCAAGACTTGTTTCTTTGTCAGAAACATTCAATTCAATCTTATTTTCCTAAAATCATAGTAACTTATTGGCAAAGCTGTTGACCAAAGTTGTTTTCTTTTGTGGGATGCAAAAGAGATTATCCTTCATGGCTTACTAGGCCTTAAATGGTTGAGTAATAAATTATTAAGCTTGGTCTGTCTGGAAGAGTTATTTGTGGAGTATGACCATATTGAACATTAAAATGAACCTTTTGAAGGTTAAAATTACCTGCAGAAAATAATTGTTTTAACTTTTTAATTAATGTGAACACTTAACGCTTCATTGGGTGCTTCTTAACCTGAAACATAAGTCACCTCCCGCCCTCCAAGCTAGGTGCCTCAAATTGAATACTCGAATGTGTTTCACTTGAGATCCTTAGAGTTCATAGTTGCCTGGAAACAAGTACCATGAGGCAACTTCTCGAGCCCTAGGCCTCCTCAACACGTCCCCGACGCCGTATTTAAACATTGCTGGATTTTCTTTACGGTTTGATTCAAATCCAACTATTGTCCAGAATGTGAAAAACCATAACAAAATGTCCAAAAAGTCAATTTCAACACTATTTTTGGTTTGACCCTTGATTATTATGATCAGCTGTGAAGTTGCTAGGCACATTTCCGTCTCGTGGTAGAAATTCTGAGGAAAACGAAGTTTAAAACGACGCACTCGAGCACTGTTCGTCCGTTCAAATGTGCTAGGCTTGGTAAGGAGGTTTTTGAGGGTTGCATCATGTCATTGCTGATGAAGCAGTTATACCTCCTTTGTCTCTGTATCGTGCATTTGTGGTGAATTGTGTTGCGTTTCTGTAAAAGTTGGGCAGTTATTTGTCCTGAAATAGAAAACGAACCGTAATGTTAGCCTCTTCCAAAAAGGAATAGGACCAAGTTCGTAAATGATGTTGAAATATTCAGGGAAGTCTTTTTACACATGCACCCTTGTAGACAGGGCTCGGCGCTTTAAATTGTGCTATATTTCTGATGTTTGTGTTCAAATTGCGGAGGTTTCGCAATCAGTTTGCACCATTCAAGTTCGTCCCGAGATCTCGACCGAGTCATCTGGGACCTCGGGCTAGAAATTGCTATCACTCTCAAGGTAACTCACTGAGAACTGGTAGTTAAGTTGGAGTCTGGTAGACTTTGTTACTAACTATCGCAGTTTATTTTTTAAAAATCTTACGGTTTACATCAAGATACATTAAGATGAAGTAGACAGCGAACTCGGTCGACCTCAAAATAGTGTGATGCGAACTCTGTCCGCGCAAACTTCATTGGTCCTCATTGGGTGCACCTGAAGACCTTTCAGCAAGACCTCTAGCTACCTTGTGTTCATAACATAATGCAGCTAAATGAAGACACTTCCCGCACAGGAGGCAATCCAGTGCAGTGAGAAACTGTAAGGTAGCAAACAATATATAGACTTACTTTTTATGAGTTGTTATAAGATTTGTTGGGTTGCTGTTTCCATCGAGGGAAGTTGAGTCCGGGGTCGAAGTTGAGGGAAGTTGACTCGCCTGTGTATCGGGGCCAGCGATTGCTGGTTCATCGACAGCTGACTGATCCGAAGACTTCTCCGACATTGAGGTCTGTGTCCCTTTACAATAAGAATTTTTTTTACCTATTTAATGATTTAGAGTTCGAAATACATGAGAAAAATAACAACGCCGCCTCAACTCGCACCTTCACCTTCCGCACTTTGCTTGATCACATGTTTTCGCGGGTTGGAGGCTTTTCGCCTCCTGTGAAAATTCGAACTTGGAAGAGCACTTGAAACCTCTATAGGTGATCTACAAACAAACGACAGAACAATTTGATAAACAGTATTTAGCACCCTTAAAGTAAACAAGTCAGCAAGGGCACATACACATAACTTACGTTCTACGAACTTCCTGTGACAGCAAATACTCCGCGAACGCACTGTCACTACGCGCTTCAAACCCTGCGATGAATTTCACCTGAAGCCACGATTGAAATATATTCTTTTCTAGGTAGATGCGTTTGTGGCATCTATGCCACTCCTTCCTAGCGTCTTTTCCATCGACAAACTTTCGCTTTCTACCTGAGTTTTGCCTTCTCCCTCCATGGCCGCTTCCAGTGGTCGACGCCATGTTGAATTTGGCGAGCCAAACTTGAAATCTTTTGCCCGAACATTTCAAGTGTACGCATGCGTATACAATGATGTTAGTCAATTTCGTTCCCAGAGCCTGTTGGACGCGTTGTAAAGTTCACAACACGACGAATTCATTTGTGTACATCTAACCTACAAAATATGAAAAATTTGAAACAACTCTTGAAACTATACCAATCGTCGTCTGTTTCATCCAGTTGAAAGCTATATAGACTTTTTGCTTACTAACTGAGCAGGGTATGCTAAGTGTCCCATGCCACTAAGCTGTGCTCGGTGATGTGGGGGG